CTATGTTTTACATGTGAAAAACATAGTAAAAATTTTTATAATTATTTCATGGTCCGCGGCTGCCGCACATAGTAATTTTTGATACAAAATTTTCTCCGTGTATATTCCTCCCTTTTAATTAAAGCATTAGAAATAATAGATTATATATTAATTTTGCCTTATTATTACTACAAAAGTAATAGAATATATATTATTTATTCCATATATATGTTACTTTAATTTTCCTACTACGCTTTGTAAATTGTATAAGTTTTAATTAAGCCCTCAATCCAAATTCTAAGGTTACCATGTACCTCAGTTCGCATAGCGATATTTATAATTGTACATTTAAATATATGATGATAGTATATTTCTAGTTAATTTCTTCTAAAAAATTTCGGAATATTACTCACGCTATTCTTCCAACGTTTACACTAATATAAATGTGATCATACTCTAAAGCTCGCTTTAAACAATCTATAACTTGCGACAGAATTTGAAATAGGATCTATTTATAATTTTATATAATAGAAAACATTCGAAGAAAAACAAAAAATACATACATATACAAAAATATCACATATATATTTTATATGTATGTATTTTATTAAATGTTTCCTGTATTACATGAAACTTAAAATTATAAATAAAATTTTATCCTGAATTCTGGCGTGAATTATAAATCGTCCAAAAGTTTTTAAAAAGATGTCAAATTGGTCTGAAATATCGAGAACATATTTTATCAGTGACGTATATATTTAATGCGCAATTTTCCTTATCATCTTCTTAACTGTGCTAAATTAACCGTGCTAAATTTTATTTATATGTATATTTGTAAATGTATTTCTCTATTGAAATATTTTTCAAATTAAAGTAAAAATCAAATTAATAAGAAAAAGTGTTTCATAACATATATGTTTGATCAATACTGGAAGAATTAATTTAATCTTACTGTGAAATGTATTTACAATAGTAATGCAAATAAACTACAAATTTTTTTCTTATGAAATAAGATCTCTTAAAATGTTAAAATATGGCTGTTCAAGATATAATAAGAGACATACTACATCAACTTGATTTTCAATTCAAAAGAGATTTATAATTAAACGGTTTAATGATTAATCTCAATCAATCAATCAATCAATTCTATTAATTATTCACGGATAAAAATTTCGATCAATCTTAAAGCGCCAAGTTGTTCCAATCTCTTTACATTTATCTTAACGCGTATAACACAATAGTAGACAGAAATATCCTTGTTAATCACAAGATATTGCGAGCAATTATCTAACAGTGATTATTCTGATAACTGTAGATTTAATTCTCGTCCAAGAATGTGCATGTATTTATATGTAAATAATATCTACATAAACTATGGGCCAATATAAAATTAATCGATGTGTATACGCGTAAATCCTATATAAGCCGAAGTTCCAAAACAGGATATTAATAAGTCTCTCAAGCTTTACTGACAAATTTATGAAATCGACGACTAATGTGAATGCCATGAAGCTTTCAAGTGGGCTAAAGAGTCGCAATCTATTCATATAAATTCGCACGTTTCGCAACATATACAAATTAGCATAATCGTACATATTTACATGAGTTACATGGTGGTCCATTTGAATATTCTGTACCTCAAAAAAATTCCTACAATGATAAAGTGTCATTAGCCTATAATACCATGTAGACCTCTGTAGAAAGAATAAAGTATCATTGTATTATACTGTGCTGTTTATTTATGCTCTTCAAAAAAATAAAAAAATATTAAAAATACTTTTTTTCTTTAAAAGTTTTATATGTACATTTATTTTCGTATTATTATTTTTCACATTACTATTTTACCAAATTTAGCAGATTTTGCTAATTTTTATGTTATCTTCACGTGATAAAAAAACATACATCTATACCGGCTGAGTTATCCATATTAATTTAGCAGAAAATGCATCAGATGGCGCATATTTATAAAGCAAGGCTCATATGATTCACATAGAAAATCTAATTTGATGATAGGTTATACCGAGTTTGTAAATATAGAAATTTATACTGATCAGTGGCAATTGTTATTCGACAATTGCAGAACTATTGTTTTTGGAATCAAAACAAAACGTGGAAGTGTTACTTCGTAAACGTATAAGTTTCAATCCGCTCTGATTGAGAAACTGAATGATACATATTTTTATTCTGCCAACCGATGTTATTTAATTATATATGTGAAATATGAAAATCTATTAAAATCTAGAACAATGAGTAAGGAAGAACGAGAAAGAGATATAAGACGTCAGCGTGAGCGGTTAATAAAACAAAAGGAATTTCTGACTGATATATTATCAAAGATTGAAAAACAAATACTTGCATTACAGGTATGTATATAGAAATTTAAATGTGGAATAAAAATGCAGTTAAATCAAACGCTTTAATCTGGAATTCTAGTACGAGAAATCTAACTAAAAAATAAATTTGACATTGCAGGTCGAACGATTGCATTTGAGAAGCACTCTATTTGGAACTAATACAGGATGTTCAAATCAAGAAATATCAAATACACCAGTGAGAAATAATAGCATGGAAATTGAATCAGTAACAAATAACCCAACAAAACAATTAGATTTATCTTTACCATCAATACAATATGATTTTGAAGAGGAGGTTGACGAGGATGACGAATCAAGTTCCTGATTTAATATATCCTGTAAACTGCCTTGTTACTGTGATTGCATTACATTAATGTTACGAATAAAACAAAATACTTAGAATTTATATATTGTATAAGAATGTAGTGTCAATAAATTAATTGATACACTAAGACATATTGTATAGTTGTATGTGACATCTTTGTATTCATTTTTATCACTAGCATTTTATAAGTATTTACAGAATATATCCTTAAAAAGTATAATGTTTGGCATTGTAATTAGAAGATTTAAAGTAACACAGTGGCAAATAATAAAACTATATTATTTCACCATAAATCTAAAATCTCTAATCTGCAACAAATTTAACAGCTAAAAGAGAATTTTAGTGCAAAGTTTTCTATACTATTGTTACTTGAATATTTCATTCTAATTTCAAATAAATCTAAACAATTTGATTGAATATTATGAAGGATAGCCCTGTGGTGATGCGCCCAGTTGTGATGGATCTTCAACCAATGATGGAGGTTTGAACTGTTCAGCAGAAAGGCGTGTGAAGCAAATTCCTATACCTTCTATCAAAGCCAAGAGTACTCCACCAATAATTGCACTGCCTACCATCGCCGGTAGACCATTTCTTGCTGCTAAAATTCCACCAGTTGCTGCTCCACTAATAATGGAATTATAAGGATCTTCCTTTCCTCCCCTAAAGTGGACTAACGTGCAATCGATTGTGGAAAACATTCCACCCCATACTGCGAAATTTCCAGCAATAATAGGTGCTCGTTGTCTGATTGCTACAACACTGCCCGTAAAACGCTGTCTCCATCCACTTGGTGCATTGCGAAAGCCTTTGATACTTTGAAAGATTGCCCCACCTATGACACCCATTGTAAAGGCACCTCCACAGTCATCCACTATCCGCCAGGGACAGGGTTCTCTTGCATATTCTTCCATATTTTAGGAATCTATTGTAAATGATAAAGACAGTTTGTTGAAGAAACAAATCATTTAAATGTGATAAATTACCATGACTATGACAAAATAACATGACTTTAATGAAGCATCAAATATATGAATATGAATACCAATAATTATTACAAATTTATTATTATTTGTTTATAATTGCATGCATTATTAATTGTTAGTTACATTTTAGCAATTAATCTTGATATAAAAAAATTATGATGCATTGCATCATAATTTGATCAATGAATAAAATTAATTGAAGTGTGTAAAAAGGTATTTCATTCAAAAGAATTTCTCAAATAATACATTATGTAAGCATGTTTCTATATATCTTATTTAAAAAACAATTCCAAAAGCTATCGCAAGTATGCGGCAAGTGAGGTTAGAGCAGCAGTGATCATCATTTCAGAACTAAAGCACATATAACATTGTTCAAAATTTTATGATATGACAAAAGCAACACTCTCTCTTAAAACATGAACAATTTATCCTGATATTTACCGTATAATTCTTTCAACACAAGGCTTCAATCTAGCTGCAGAAAATCTCAAACACGACACTTTAACCCCTAAATAAGCAAAAGAGGTAGCATGACATCTTCGACAAACATAACCTTAACAGTTCCTCAGCGGCCTCTTAAAATTAGTCAAAGCCGGATATTACGTCAAACATCGCTAGCAAACAGCACACGACATCTAATAGCAACAGTCTTTTTTTTTTAATCAGAATACCAAAGTGCGATAAAATGTGGCTCAAATAAATTCGACAAGGAAATTCGATTGTAATAATACGAGGAAATTCGATTGTAATAATACAATGATGTCATAACAAGAACTTATTCGAGAAATAAAAAATATGTTGTTATCCCTCCCGAAATTTAAATATTTGTTAATCTATATATTGGTTCTTCCAATTGCACATTTTAATTACATACACATTTACATTTTTACAATTCAAAAAATTTTTCTCGACGTATAAATATATTTCAACCAAAAAAATAAAATATGTAAATAATTGTGATATTTTTATAATTATTTAAATGCAGAAAAAAGCCAAACTCGTGCCTTAAATACATTTAGATTTAGAAAGAAACTATAATCATGGTTAATATTATACATCTAGTTTCCATAAAATTTTTTTTTTAAATAATTAAAACTTCCAAAATATTTTAATATCACGGCTTAAAAATAAAAATTATTAATATAAATAACTTGTGTAAAAATTTGTTACTATTAAAATAGAGAAACAGTAATACTGTTTGTATTCATTTGTAAAAATGTAAATTGCAGATAAAAATATAATACTCAAAGTGTGAGTAGCAATTGTATAGTAAATATTGCCAAGTAAAAGATAAAGAGAAAGAGAGAAATAGATAGAAACAAGAAAAACAGATGATAGAAAATACATATTGTATTTCATGCAGTAGGTTCATGCATATATGTACAATTCACTCACCGGTCGTTGTACCTTAACTAAATACGCTAACAGCTGTATCTGAAACAATGTAGAAATATATTTCAATTAATATCAATTATAGTAGTTATCATAAAACATAATCATATTATATATCAATTACACGAATAATTTTATTAAATTTTTAAAAAATACTCAATAAGTGTTAATTAAATAATCATTTAAATAAATATTTTAAATATTTAATAAATATCTAACAAATACAAATTTTGTAATTACGTAGGTACGTATAGATATACATTTTTAAATAATAAACAAATGTTATGCTCACCAGTTAGAGTATTGTAGTTTGCTTCATCCGCTGCAAACGACGTTTCTGCCTTAGACATCAGCTCCAGCGATGCTTTGATGAATCCAAAAATTACCGTCGGAAAATACTTATTTTCTATTACACGCACTATCCAAAGGTTAACATATTGCACATTTCACTTATACAAAACTCACGAATTTACGATACTCATGAACTTACCACGCCACGAAATCCGAAACACATAAACGCGATACACGAAATATAAAATATACTTTGTGCCACTTGTAGCACAGAATATTACATATTTAACGATCAACTTTCGACACTGTGCACGTACTTCGTAATGTATAAAAACCGAAACGAACAACGATAATCTTGGAGGAGGTAAGTAAGAACATGTACAGTAAATATTGATCAATATAAAGATAAAGAAAAAGACAGAAATAGAAAAAGAGTAAAAAGATAAAAGAAAGTATTGTATGCCTAGTCATATTTTCATGCATGTATAATTCACTCACCGGTTGTTGTACCCTAACTAAATACGCTATCAGCTGTACCTGAAAACATATTAAAATTTATTTTAACTATTATAAATTACGTACTAGTAAGTATAAAACATAATTACATGCAATCAATTGCGTAAATAATTATTTAAAAATTTTTAATAACATTTAATAAAAGTGATATTAAATATTTTATTAATCTTTTCAATTATTATATGAGTAATTATATTATAAATATTCAAAAAGTATTAATTTTATAATTGTGTATGTGTATGTTATCACACATATATAGATTTTAAATAATAAACAGTTTTATTCACCAGTTAGAATATTGTAGGCTACATTCCCTCCTGCCCAGGACTATTCTGATGAATTCCAACGAAGATTTGATCAACATCAAAGATCACCACTTGTTCACTCACTTGTATACTCACGAATTCATGTCATGAATTTTCCTCGCCGAAATACGAAACGTTAAAGACGATACTCGAAACATAAAACGTACTTTGTGCCAAATATACTTGCAGCCAAATATACAAAAATATTACATACGCAATGATAGACTCGACATTACGTACTTTGTAACATATAATAACCGACACAAACATCAATAATCTTGGTGGAGATCGTCAAGTAGGAACATGAACATTACATTTTATATACATAAGCCGAATATAATATCAATAATTTTCCACATGCTACATTTAATAAAAAGTGCACTACGATTCGATTCTTTTAAGTCAATGTAAAAATGATTCTGTTTGTTTATGGTGTCAAAATTTATACTAAATAAAATTATAATCTGCTTCACGATCCAATCGCCAGATAATCGATGGAACGCCAAAATCGCAAAACGCCTATAATTGCAAACATCGGTTCATACTCATACTCGCCCGTACATTCCGCACTCGCCCGCGTATTTCGCACTGGCCCGTTACTTTAATCGACACTCCCGAAAATAATCTGCACTTGTTTTATTTTCTGTAATAAAAAATGTTTTATCTATCTTTAATACAAATAAAATATACACGATGAATCACAAAATGTCCATATATTACGCAGTGATGCCAAAATTTAAAAAAAAGATATACTCACAGACAGAAGGGTTGACGCTCGCTGCAGTCTGTGGCGGATCTATTCTTCATAAGTGCACCATTACACCATTACACTTTTTCTGTGTGTGTGCACTATGATGCGATATTCTGAAATACATATTGCAAGCATTGACAAAGCGAAGTATCAAATGAGACTTTTTCTATGTCTTATCAAACTACGATGATTGATATTCTTATATATATGCAAAATGCACCACGGTTTGATTCCTTTCAGTCAATGTACAAATTATTCTGTTGTCTACATCAAAATTTATATGAAATGAAATTATAACCTGTTTCACGATCCTATCGCCAAACAATCAATAAAACACCTGTAATTGCAAACATCGGCGATAATTCATACTCACCCGTACATTTCGCACTTGCCCGCGCATTTCGCAATCGCCCGTTACTTTAATCGACACTCCCGAAAAGAATCTGCACTTGTTTTATCTCCTGTAATAAAAATTGTTTTATCTATCTTAAATGCAAATAAAATATATACACGATAAATCACAAAATGTCCGTATGTTACGCAGTAATACCAAAATTAAAAAAAAAGGTACACTCACAGGCCAAAAGGTGGCGCTCGTACTATTGCAATTTTTGGCGGATTTATTCTTCATAAATGCGCCATTACACTTTCTCTACATGTATGCGTATACGTGTAATACTCTAAAAAAATAATATTGCAAGCATTGATGAAGCGAAGTATCAAATGAGACTTTTTCTGTGTCATGTCAAACTATGATGATTGATATTCTTATATATACAAAATGCATCACGGTTTGATTCCTTTCAGTCAATGTACAAATTATTCTGTTGTCTACGACATCAAAATTTATATAAAATGAAATTATAACCTGCATCACGATCCTATCGCCAAACAATCGATAGAACGCCTGTAATTGCAAACATCAGCGATAATTCATACTCACCTGTACATTTCGCACTCGCCCGCGCATTTCGAACTCGCCCGCGCATTTCGTACTCGCCCGTTACTTTATTCGGCGCTCCCAAAAAAAATCTGCAGTGCTGCCAAGATTTAAAAAAAAAATACACTTACAGACAAAAAGGTGGCGCTCGTAGCATTGCAATTTTTGGCGCATTCTTCATAAATTACATAAATTACACTTTTTCTATGTGTGTGCGTATACGTGTGATACTCTAAAAAAAAGTATTGCAAGCATTGACAAAACGATGTATAAAATCAGATTTTTTTCTATGTCTTATCAAACCACGATGATTGATATTGTTATATATACAAAGTGCATCACGATTTGATTCTTTTACGTCAATGTAAAAATTATTCCGCTTGTCTACATTCAAATTTATACTCAATGAAATTATAATCCGCTTCACGATTCTATTGCCAGACAATCGACAGAACGCCTGTAATTGCAAATATCGGCAGTAATTCATACTCACCCGCACATTCCGTACTCGCCGGTTACTTTATTCGGCGCACCCAAAAAGAATCTGCAGTGCTGCCAAGATTTAAAAAAAAGGTACACTTACAAGCAAAAGGATGGCGCTCGTAACATTATAATTTTTGGCGCATTCTTCAAAAAATACATAAATTACACTTTTTCTATGTGTGTGCGATTACGTGTAATACTCTAAAAAAAAGTATTGCAAGCATTGACAAAGCGATATATCAAATCAGATTTTTTCTATGTCTTATCAAACCACGATAATTGATATTGTTATATATAAAAAGTGCATCACGATTTGATTCTTTTACGTCAATGTAAAAATTATTCCGCTTGTCTACATTCAAATTTATACTCAATGAAATTATAATCCGCTTCACGATTCTATTGCCAGACAATCGACAGAACGCCTGTAATTGCAAATATCGACAGTGATTCATACTCACCCGCACATTCCGCACTCTCCCGTTACTTTAATCGACACTCCCGAAAAGAATCTGAACTTGTTTTATCTTCTGTAATACAAATTGTTTTATCTCTCTTTAATCCAAGTAAAATATGCACAAAGAATCACAAAATGTCCGTATGTTACGCAGTGGTGCCAAAATTAAAAAAAAAGTACACTTACAGGAAGAAGGGTAGCGCTCGCAGCATTGCAATCTGTAGCAGATCTATTCTTTATAAATGCGCCATTACACTTTCTCTATGTGTACATATAGGTATGATACTCTGAAAAAAATAAGCATTGCAAGCATTGACGAAGCAAAGTATAAAATCAAATTTTTTCTATGTTTATCAAGCTATAGTGATTGACATTCTTATATATACACATGCATATATCATGCATACAATTTAACTGTTTTGTATCACAAGATTAAATATTCAATTGTTCAAATCAGATAAAACTTTGGCACACTATACAATAAATATAATGCATTCTGATTCTATCGAAACGTAAAAATTACTCTGCTTGTTTATAATATCAAAATCTATGAATCTAATTTAAATATGATCTATATTTAAATTACTGAATGTAGTAATTGTAACCTGTATCACATTGTGACCGCCAACATTCGACGAAACATTTTTCATCCTCAATATTCGCAGTACTTGACACGTACTGTAGATGCCTGTCACTTTGATTGTTACTCCCAAGGAAAGTCTGAACTCGATTCGTCTTTAATACGAATAAAACAGACGGATTAATCGTCGCCGTTCCAAACCAAGGTACCCGGGAGAATCTAATGTCAAATCGATAGAATAATATTGTGCAGCGATCTAGCTATCTAGCGGTCACTACACTTACTCTATTACGCGCCGTAGATAAGTATATAGTAACATGTGTAGATATGGTAGATCTCTTACATAGCTACATAGTACTATTCTATCGACCGGACCTAAGTGTTCCCGCGCATTTTGGCTCAAGATACAGAGGACGAACGCCTTGTATGCAGTTAATCGTGTATTTTATCAGTATTTATGATGAATCAAGTTCAGATTTTCCTTGAAGTGACAATCAAAGTGACGAACGTTTGCGAAACATGTCAATTACGGCGTATATTTGCGATGAAAAGCGTTTCGTTATTCATTTGACAGCTGGACTGTAAAACAGGTTATGATACCGGTGAGATTTTTTATGTAAATAAAGAGAATAATTCCGACATTCGCTTATGAAATTAAAGCGTACTATGCTTTCATCAAATATAACATCTTTGAAAATGCAGCTCATCAAAATTAAATCAAATAAAACATGTTTGCTTTGCACACATGTTACATTCATATTCGTATCCGATGTTTAATTGTTGACCAATTTAATTGATGATATATAAACCTTTTATTCTATACTTTTATGAATGCTTTTTTATCAATTTATCTTTAATGCTTAATTATATATTTATTTTTGTAGAGTACAAGAAGTGTAAATAGTACACTTGCAAAGAACAGAGCTGCCATCCTCTCAAACGCTAATTTCTCTCTGCACTGCTGGCCGCATCATTTTAGAACGCAAAACAATCGCTTCGTGATTAATCGTATTTTTATTCGTATCAAAAGCGAAACAAGTGTTGTTCTCGATCTTAAAATGACGGGTCTTTGCAGAACATATTAATTATCGTGGATATTTGCGATTAAAAGTAAAATTGCGCGTGTTCGGCGACTGTTTTGCGACCGGATCCTGATACAGGTTACATTTCCAGTAAGTATAAATTTTGAGGAAATTGAAGCGCAAAATATTTTTCATTTATTGTAGCATATTGAAAATTTAACTCGTCAAAACTGTATATAATTTATGCAAAATGTAATTGTTGTGCATTTATCTGTATTTGACGATCTTCACTAAGTCGGTGTTTGAGTCGCTTATTTTATGTGTATGATACGAAGTATGTATACAGTGTCGAGTCGACTGTTGCATATGTAATATTCTATGCTACAAGTGGCACAAAGTACGTTTTATGTTCGCGTACCGCGTTTATGTTACATGTATCGCGGTGAAATAAACTCAACGTGAATTCGCGAGTTTCGCGTGAGTGAAACATGCAAACTAACTTTTTATTAGTGTCATAGCATATGTACAAATGAACAAATGCTAATATTCGTCAAATCTTCGTTAAAATTGATGCTGAATAGTCTAAAACAATGGGTAATGTAGACAACAATACTCTGACTGGTGAATAAAACTATTTGCTTATTATTTAAAAATGCATATAGCTGTGATAACATACATATGTAATTACAAAATTTCTATTTGTTAGATATTTGTTTAAATATTTAAAGTATTTATTGAAGTTGTTTCTATAAATAACACATTTATCGAAATTGATTAAAAATTTTAAATATTTATTTATGTAATTGATTGAATGTAATCATTTATTATTTATTTAGCTTATTTAAATTTTTATCTAGTTTGAACAATTGAATGTTTAATCTTGTGATATTCAAAACGTAGTTGAGTTGTATGTGTGTCATATGCATGTGTATATATAAGAATATCAATCATCAAAGCTTGACAAAACATAAAAAATTCTGATTCTATACTTCGCTATATCAAGCTTGCAATACTTATTTTTTTCAGAGTATCATTCGTATACGCATATATAGAGAAAGTGTAATGGTGCATTTATGAAGCATAGATCTGCCACAGATTGCAATGCTGCGAGCGCCACCCTTCTTTTTGTAAGTACTTTTTTTTAAAACTTGGCACCACTGCGTAACATACGGACATTTTGTGATTCTTTGTGTATATTTTACTTGTATTAAAGATAGATAAAACAATTTGTATTATAAAAGATAAAATAACTGCAGAATCTTTTCGAGAGTGTCAATTAAAATACCGGGCGAGTGCGGAATGTGCGGGTGAGTATGAATTACTGCCGATATTTGCAATTACAGGCGTTCTGTCGATTGTCTGGCAATAGAATCGTGAAGCGGATTATAATTTGATTATTGAGTATAAATTTTAATGCAAACAAGCAGAATAATTTCTACATTGACATAAAAGAATCAACTCGTGATGCACTTTGTATATATTGTATAACAATATCAATCATCGTAGCTTGATAAGACATAGAATAAATCTGATTCGATACATCGCTTCGTCAATGCTTGCCATACTTTTTTTTAGAGTATTGCACGTATACGCACATACATAAAAAAAGTGTAATTTATGTAATTTATGAAAAATGCGCCAAAAATTGCAATGTTACGCTCTTCTGCCTGTAAGTGTACTTTTTTTTTTTAAATTTTGGCAGCACTGCAGATTCTTTTTGGGAGCGCCGAATAAAGCAACGGGCGAATACGGAATGTGCGGGTGAGTATGAATTACCGCCGATATTTGCAATTACAGGCGTTCTATCGATCGTTTGGCGATAGGATCATGAAGCAGGTTATAATTTCAATGAGTATAAATTTTGATGTCGTAGACAAACAGAATAATTTCTACATTGACTTAAAGGAATCAAACTCTGATGCATTTTATATATATATGAATATCAATTATTGTAGTTTGACATGACATAGAAAAAGTTTTATTTGATACTTTGCTTCATCAATGCTTGCAATATTTTTTTTTTTTAGAGTATTACACGTATACGCATACACGTAGAGAAAGTGTAATGGCGCATTTATGAAGAATAAATCCGCCAAAAATTGCAATGGTACGAGCGTCACCTTTCTGCCTGTGAGTGTATCTTTTTTTTTAATTTTGGCATCACTGCGTAACATACGGACATTTTGTGATTCATCGTGTATATTTTATTTATATTACAGATAAATCAAACGATTTGTATTACAAAAGATAAAACAAGTGTAGATTCTTTTCGGGAGTGTCGATTAAAGTAACGGGCGATTGCGAAATGCGCGGGCAAGTGCGAAATGCGCGGGCGAATGCGGAATGTGTGGGCGAGTATAAATTACCGCCGATATTTGCAATTACAGGCGTTCCATTGATTTTCTGGCGATCAAGTCGTAAAGCAGGTTATAATTTCATTGATTATAAATTTGGATGTAGACAAACAAAATTATTTCTACACCCACTTAAAAGAATCAAACCGTAATGCACTTTCTGTTAAATATAGCACGTGCAAAATTATTGAAATTTATATTTAGCTTATGTATAAAATGTAGTCGGATACATGTTCGTACTTGACGATCTCCGCTAAGCTTATTGATATTCTTCTTGATTATATGTTATAAAGTATGTATACAGTGTCGACTTTGTTATTGAATATCTAATATTTTGTTTGGCTGCATTTGGCACAAAGTACATGTTTTGAGTACCGCCATTAACGTTTCGTGTATCGCATCGAGGTAAATTCATAACATAAATTTGTCAGTTTACTGAGTGAACAAGTAGTGATCTTCGATGTTGATCAAATCTTCGTTGGAAGTGATGCTGGATAGTCCAGAGCAAGAGGAAATGTAAACTACAATATTCTAACTGGTGAATAAAACTTTATTATTTAAAATCTGTATATGTGTGATAACATACACATACACAATTATAAAATAAGTTTTAAAGTCACTTTTTAAATATTTATAATATAATTACTCATATAATAATTGAAAAGATTAATAAAATATTTAATAACAGTTTTATTAAATGTTATTAAGAAAATTTAAATAATTATTTACACAATTGATTGCATATAATTATGTTTTATACAGACTAGTGCGTAATCTATAATAGTTAAAATATATTTTAATATTTTTCCAGGTACAGCTAATAGCGTATTTGGTTAGGGTACAACCCGGTGAGTGAATTGTACATGCATGAAAATATCGCATGGCATACAATATTTTCTACTATGTATTTACTCTGTTTCTAATTCTTTTTCTCTTTTTCTCTATCTTTTTATTGTTTTTACTTACCTCCACCAAGATTATCGTTGTTTGTTTTGGTTTTTATACATTACGAAGTACGTGCACAGTGTCGAAAGTCGATCGTTAAATATGTAATATTCTGTGCTACAAGTGGCACAAAGTATATTTTATATTTCGTGTATCGCGTTTATGTGTTTCGGATTTCGTGGCGTGGTAAGTTCATGAGTATCGTAAATTCGTGAGTTTTGTATAAGTGAAATGTGCAATATGTTAACCTTTGGATAGTGCGTGTAATAGAAAATAAATATTTTCGACGGTAATTTTTGGATTCATCTAATCATCGATGGAGCTGATGTCTAAGGCAGTAACGTCGTTTGCAGCGGATGAAGCAAACTACAATACCCTAACTGGTGAGCATAATATTTGTTTATTATTTAAAAATGTATATATCTATACATACATACATAATTACAAAATTTGTATTTGTTAGATATTTGTTAAATATTTAAAATATTTATTTAAATGATTATTTAATTAACACTCATTGAGTATTTTTTTAAAATTTAATAAAATTATTCGTGCAATTGATATATAATATGACTATGTTTTATGATAACTACTATAATTGATATTAATTGAAATATATTTCTACATTGTTCCAGGTACAGCTGTTAGCGTATTTAGTTAAGGTACAACGACCGGTGAGTGAATTGTACATATATGCATGAAACTACTGCATGAAATACAATATGTATTTTCTATCATCTGTTTTTCTTGTTTCTATCTCTTTCTCTCTATCTTTTCACTCGGCAATATTTACTGTACAATTGTTACTCACGCTTTGATTATTATATTTTTATCTGCAAGTTACATTTTACAAATAAATACAAACAGTATTACTTAGTTTCAACCTTAAAATAAGTGCAGATACATTGTAATTAATAAGTATTAAATGAATGGACTAGATAAGATTAGAATGATATTGGTGCATTATAAAAATAGATATACGATTAATAACTTTAGTCGGAGATGTGAGTATTTTTGTACTTCATAAATTACTTAGAATTTGTTATATAAAATATTTTCTGTTTATCTTAATTTATGCTTATTGCATACATATTGCAACAAATTCTGTGAATATTGTTTATCTGTATTATTTTAAATAATATTTAATTCTTAATGAATATATATTAAAACATTGCACTGGTTTCAGTATTTAAAAAATATTTGAGAAATAGGAAAAGAAGGAAAAATATATGTACACACCAAAAAATTTGACTTTTTTTTTTTTATTTTTCCGTTTCATTGAGTGCACTT